TTTGTTAATCACAGACACTATACAAATAAAAAGAGGAATTTTTCAAAGAAACTCACTTTCACCATTGTTATTCTGCGTGTCTTTATTTCCACTTAATAGTATCCTTAACAAGCAGACTCTATCACAAGATAATTACTTTTAAAAATGCAGAAATATATGAGTGAATGTAATTACTTTGATAAAACCAACATATTTTATAGTTAATTATTAAAAAAAGTAATAACAACAAATTGGGGAATTATTTTTAATAAAACCTGCTTATCCGAAAACCTCGTTCCAAATTATATATATATATATATATATTTATATATTTATATATATATATTTATATTATATATTTATATTTTATTTATATATATATATATGTATGTGTGTGTGTTTGTGTGTGTGGGCTTCAAACCGGTTGACTTTGTCGGGGGTGGGGATGAAAAATGAACTCTCATCTCCTAAAAAATGCTCCCATTGGCGGTAGGTATCCAACCTCGGTCAATCAAGTCTTACTCCTGGCCTTCAGGTGGCGAAGCTGTTTAAAATAACAGGAGAGGGCGAAGGCGAGTAACTGGCGCCATAACCAGACGTTCCGGGCAGATGGAGCTTGTTAGCCATAGCTGGCCATCCACCTAGGAGAAGGAAAACTCTGACTTTAAACCTCCGCTGCCTTGCGGCCACACCCATTTATGGGAAGGCTATGGGAGTAAGCCCAAACAGAAAATCGCTAGCACCTGCAGTTGGCTATGAAGATGGTTCTACTCATCAACTCGGTGTCAGTTCCGATTAAACTGCTGCGTCCATACTGGTCAGTCATCACGTCGCAATTCATTGTGCCTGCTGACAACGGCCTTTGTGGAAAGAGAGGTTGTGGCTAGTTTTCACAAAACTCTTGCCACTCTGTTTTTGTTGTCGTTGTTCGTTCCTTCCATGAAGGTATGAAAGCGAGTGTGGTTGAAAATGGTGAACGGTCACAGGATTTTGATGTTACAAACGGAACCAAGCAAAGATGTGTTAGGGCTCCATTGCTGTTCAACATCTACTTTTCATTGATTCTCTGAGTTGATTTTCGTCACGGTAGTGATGAAATACTAATCTGCTATCGTAAGAATGGAGATGTTTTTAATATTAGACAATTGCAAGCCAAGTCCAAAACACAGATTTCTACTGTGCGAGACCTGTTATTTGCTGATGATTGCGCACTGGTTGCACATATACAGGCTGAGATTCAGACGCTGTTCAACCGCTTCTATATAACAGCTAAAAGATTTGGACTTACAGTCAGTCTGAAGAAAACTGAGGTCTTGCATCAGTGCTACCCAGTTTTGTTGGGGGCAATGGCCCATGTGATGGCGGACGACTCGCGTCTCAATTCTGTTGAAAAATTTTGTTATCTAGGCGGATATATTTCCAACAGTTCAACTATCGATAATGATATTACAGCAAGGCTAGCAAAAGCAGGTGCTGCTTTTGGTATGCTGACCGGACGTCTTTGGAAAGAACACGGATTTACTCTTGCCACCGAAATTGCGGTATACAGAGCAGTTGCTTTATGGTTGCGAAGGCTTCACTGCTTTACGGTTGTAAAAACTGGACGTTCTACCGACCAGTTTCAAATGAGATGCCTGCGCAATTGCGCATGATTGCAGGTATCAGGTGAGAAGACAAGGTCCCAAACACAGTGGTTCTGGCAAAGTGCGGTATAATGAGTGTAGAATCGCTGCTGCTTCAAACTCAGTTTTGCTGGATAGGGCACGTTATACGTATGCCAGACACAAGAATTCCAAAGCAGGTCTTTTTTGGTCAACTTTATTTCTTCATTTTGATCAGTTATGACGGAACCACTGTTGTGAACATCTTCATCTTCTGAAAGATTTTCTTTAATCGAAGTTTCTTGATTATTATCTTTGATTTTATCACTGATTGAGATTTTTTAATTTTTATTATTGCAGCTTTGACATACGCAGAACCACTTATAATGTTACATATATATCATCTATAAAATCTTTTATTATGATCTTTATATCGTTATTCGTTGATTTGAGGCAGCCACCTTCGCTACAAAAACTGTTTATCTTTTTTACACAACGTACACATGTATTTATGTGCACGCGCAAGCACCGCATCATATACGCTGAGTATATGATAGCCATTGAGATGTTTGACTCAGCTCGCATTTGAACCACTGAGCCATCTCGCCGGCCATCATGCAAAAACTTACGTCGTCTTCCCATTTACCGACCTTGGAAGGATGGACGGCTGGATTGGCCGGGGGTCTGCTACCCGGATGAACCTGCAGAAACCGCAAGATTTGAATCCGGGTCGTGAGAGTAGTAGATGAACACGCTAGCTACTCAACCACAAGACCCATAATAAATAACAGCACTTGGTTTGACAAGCTTCTCATCAAAAACAGCATCTCTCAATATATTTCATTTCCTTTTTTAACAAAAATTTTGTAGCCATCATACTCTTCATATCTAACGATAATACTCTTTGTAGCTTTGATATCTATTTTTTGTCGTTTCTTTTACTCACTTGGAAACCTCTATGGCAACATCAAAACGCACAAAAATAACAACCCCATTCGACCTATCATCAGCCAAATTCCAACAGTAATATACCCTATTGCCAAATCTCTAAACAAAATTCTGACCACATGCATTCCTTGTTACAATAATCTCCAGTCCTCACGGAAATTTATCAATCTATTGAACTTTAACAAACCGTCAAATCATATTGCTTATGCTTCTCTGGATGTTGAATCTTTGTTCACAAATGTTCCCATCCATGATACAACTGATATTATCCTCAATAGTGTTTATCACTCAGACATGGTTCACTTCAAAATACCAAAAACACATCGCAAATCTCTTTTTCAAATCTGCTTCACCGAAGCACCTTTTCACACCCCCACAGGCAAACTATACAAGCAAATTGACGGTGTAGCCATGGGCTTACCACTCGATGTCCTGTTTGCAAATTTCTTCTTAGGAAATCTTGAGATAAAACGTTTAGAGACAATCAAAAATTAAGAACAGATATCTTTGTTGCATACGATGATCCGGAACAAGTCAACAAGCTACAAGCAACCCTGGACCAATCGAAACTGTGTCTCACCATCGAGCACGAAATGAATGTAAGGAACAATTCAAAGTACAATAAAATCCAGTGTGAACCGCGCATTCACGCATTCATCCTTAACTGAAGATCGCAATAGGAATCTGAAAAGAATTACTATTTTCGGATCTGAAAAGAATTACTTTTTTACTAGTAAGCAATGGTTACAAAACATAATCTATTGAGAGCACCATTCAACAAAAACTACAACAAGATAGAAATATATTTAAAAACACCAATGAAAACAACATAATCCTATATTACAGAAATCATATGTCAACGGCACATAAAATAGACGAAGTCGTCCTCCAACAAATTATAAATAGAAATGTTACACCATTTAATGATACTAATAAAATAAAACTCAGGATATACAAAAATAAAACAATAATTGTAAAACATCATAATTGGCCTTAAAGAACCACTGCACTATTAAAAAGATTATTCTACTTTGAAGTGTAGTCATGTAATATATGAATTTAAATGCCATATTGACATCTGTGCGCGTCAACAACAATCGTATATTAGTGTTACGACCACTTCACTATCAAGACGTCTCATAATGCATACACAAAAAGAAGCCATCAAATCTCACTTGCAATCAACACGTGAAACTCCATTAACCCGCCATATACTTGACAACAACACAAAAATAATTTATCAAAACACCAACATAACACATCTGAAAATTGCAGAAGCAGCCCTGTTATCAATAAACCCCAAATAAACATCCAACAAAAAATGATAACATCATTACCAACTTACCAACTCGACGCCTTAATACTAACTTCAATAACTATGAAGAACAAAGGAATGAAAACAACAAAGATGAAGAATACGATACCAACTAATAAACTTTGCTAAAGATCTTTGCTTTATTTAAAGAAATTATATAAACCAAACCTGCACTAATATATATATATATATATATATATATATATATATATATATATATATATATGTCAGGGTTCAGTGTAGCGCTATACGATTTAAATGGATAACCAGTAAACAAGTAATTAATATCTCGTGGCCGTGGTGATTTCAAGTTAAAAAACGTTTAAAAAACAGTTGGTTAAAAATATTGAACTGTTCTTCAAGGACAAATAATTATTAATAACTCAGTTTGCGTGAGTTATTAATAACTTGTCGCAATTTCTGAACATGGGAGTGATAGCGGCCAAATGTCTATAAAAGCGCTGAGCCTGTTGTCCCGTCAACAGGCTCAGAAATTCAGTCCAGGAGTTGTTGTCGTCGCGAGAGTTATCGTGGAGTCTCGGAAGTTGAAGTGGTAGATTCGTGAACCGACGATTTGTGAAATATATATGTATATATTTAATTAATTGTTTAGAGATATTGACTAATAACGTTGTTTAATTAATTAATTAGAGATATTGACTAATAACGTTGTTTAATTAATTTAATTGGAGATATTGACTCATAACGTTGTTTAATTAATTGTTTAGAGATATTGACTAATAACGTTGTTTAATTAATTAATTAGAGATATTGACTAATAACGTTGTTTAATTGATTTAATTGGAGATATTGACTCATAACGTTGTTTGATTAATTTAATTAGAGATATTGACTCATAACGTTGTTTAATTAATTTAATTAGAGATATTGACTCTTAACGTCAGTTTGTAATTATTGTTACTTGCCTGACATTATAAACAGTATTTCACTTTGTAATAGAGAAATTGTTACAACATACTTGTTCTTGTTGCGAGGTTGAAATAATAATAAGAAAAGTTAAAGAACGAACCCTTACATTTGGTACCAGAAGTGGGGTACACACAAAAAAAAAGAATATCGAGTGTGTACGTGAAGACTTCAACGACAAAACAAGTTGGTAAAATTGTAACAATTTATAATTATTTTGGTAAGATAATATGGAACGGCAGACAAGGTCGAAGGTGACGGGGGCGACGACAGACGGTGAAGGTATCGCTGAATCATATGACATCAAAAGGTTAGAAGCGGAGACAAAACTGGAGGAAATGCGTAGAACTGATGAGAGACTGAAGGAAGCGAGTCTTCGAGATCATGAATTTCGGTTGAAGGAACTTGAACTGCGTGCTCAACAAACACGGGAAACCCCTTCTAACACTGCACTTCGAGCCATAGAACGGACTTTTTTGCCAAATCGTTGAAACATTTGTTGGGGCCATGTCCAACAGACATCAGAGATGTACCAGCATATCTTGTCCGAATAGAAAAGATTTTCGAAAACCATGATGTGGATTGGGACATTAGGGCGAATTTATTAATGATGAATTTAAATGATGGAATGAAGTCCTGGCTTGATAACCTCAGTGGAGAAGACATGCGAGATTATGCGAAGGTAAAACAACATTTACTTCGAGAATATCGTATTAACCCCGTTCGTTTGCGAGATGAATTTTTCACAATGCGGAGACAGAAGTAGGAGTCGTTTGTTATGTTCGCTCATCGACTGCACAACACGCTTCAGTTTTACTTCCAAAGTCGTGAAGTCGATTCATTTCAAAGTGTGGTAAATTTGATTTGCGCCGACCGCCTGAAGGAACTTCTTCCGAAAAACGTGTTAGAATTCGTGTTAACCCAAGAAATGGACGACTGGATGGGTTATGAGGTTTTAGCTAAAACAGTCGACCGACACGAAATGAATATGAATATGAAGATGTCCAGCCAACCAACGGCATCAACGCGACCACCTCCCGTTGTTTATAAAAACGTGTCCAATGATGTCAGAAGAGAGGACCGGTGCTACAGATGTAATATGTCAGGGCATATCGCAAGGTTTTGTAACCGAAAACCGACATCAACCGCGACGCCAAAACGTATTCTCAAATGCGAGGTTACTTCAAAACCGAAATGGCTACACGTCATAACGAATGAGAGTCAACAAGGGAAAGTGCCAAGGGTCATACAGGCGGACAAGTTTTATGAAAGGGCGTACGTTGATGTGATGCTGAACGATACACTAAATCGGAAGGCTCTGATTGATAGCGGAGCGGAGGTTTGTTGCATTAGTGAAGATTTGTGTGAAAGTTTGAACCTGCCATTGGGAGGTAAGTTAATGGTAAGAGGTTTGGAACCGGAGGGTAAGGAGGTAGATGGTGTATGGATAAATCTGAAACCGGTACCAAGTGATGAAAGGTGTAGGGTTATGGCTCCTGCGGTGAAGGTGTGGTGTGCAGTGATACCAGGTTTGGTAGAAGGTTTATTGATAACTCCAGGGGTGGTAGAGTTATTAAACAAAGTCAAGCACTACGAGTTTCCCAGTCCCGTGAACGATGATGATGAGCAGAGGGTGGGGGAGGCAATGTCTGACTGTGATGTGGAAGAGTGGTCTAATCAGGATGGGGATGGGTTAGGGTTAGGGTTAGTAGAGGAGAAGGGTTGACAGGTACCGACAACGGAATAGATGAAGAAGGTCATGACGAGGCGATAAATGTTGACGCGAAGGAGGTGTTGGTAAGGAAAGATGAGGGTGCATCAGATGAGGTACAGGTGCCAGATGATCCGAGTCGGTGTAGTCGATGTGACACTGTTGAGGTGTTCGGGAGATATAGAGGGATCAGCGGAGGTTGCGGGAGAGGTATCGAAGGGCTTTAATGATGGGATAAACGGTGTGGCTGACAGATTAACGATGATTAAAGAACAAACGAATTGTCCGTCGTTGAAAAGGTGGTGGGGTTTTGCTAAGATGGGTAGGAAGAATTTTTTTATTGAAGATGGAGTCTTATATCACAAGGAAGTAATACTCGGGCACAAAGTCAAACAATTGTGTCTACCAGTGTCGCGAATCAACACCATGTTAGAGTTGGGGCACGATGCACCATTCTCAGGTCATATGGCATTCAAATCCACCAGGTACCGGATCGCGCTCAGTTTCTGGTTCCCTGAGATGACTGAAAGAATTCGACAGTATTGTAAATCATGTACAATTTGTCAGCTCAGAGCTCCAGTCAAGGTTGCCGACAGAGTACCAATTACTCCGATATCGCGGAATGATAAATTGCCATTTACACATTTGGTGATGGACTGTATCGGACCGATGATTAATCGACGGTGGTGGTACCAAGCCTGAATATAACTATGCACTGGTGGTGGTAGATTTATTCACGAAGTGGCCCATGGCCTACCCCTTGAAATCGATCAGCGCCAAAGCGACTTGTGAAGTTTTACTTCAGATTTTCATGACGTACTCCATACCAAAAGTTATTAGCTCCGACTGCGGCACCAACTTTACGAGTCTGATTACACAAGTGATGTTGAAGAAACTGGGGTGTAGCCCGCGATTCAACACGCCAGGACATCCTGAAGCATCCGGGGTTGTGGAACGTTGCAACCAATCGTTGAAGGCGATGATATACAAATTGGCCCAGGAACATCATCGAAGCTGGCACCGAGTACTGCCATTCGTTTTATGGAGTTTGAGGGAACGACCGTCTTCTACGACTCACGTCAGCCCATATACGATGTTGTATGGAACGTTACCGAGAGGTCCGCTGTCAATACTCAAGGAATCATGAGTAGGGGAAAACGAACTACCGTTGAATATTGGAAAAAAGCCAGATGAGTATTTGAAAACCCTTCGCCATTACCTAGAATTAGCTAAATCATATGCTGAGTATCATACTGAGAAGGAACAACAACAGTACGCCCATCAGTACAACTTAAAAAGTAGTGATCGGCACTTACAGGTTGGAGACATGGTGGTGATGTTGATACCGACGCCATTACGAAACAACACGCCAGGACATCCTGACATCCTATCCCCTAGGATAGCGGCCAAATGTCTATAAAAGCGCTGGGAAGGTCCCGTCAACAGGCTCAGAAATTCAGTTCAGGATTTGTTGTCGTCGCGAGAGTAATCGTGGAGTCTCGGAAGTTGAAGTGGTAGATTCGTGAACCGACGATTTGTGAAATATATATGTATATATTTAATTAATTGTTTAGAGATATTGACTAATAACGTTGTTTAATTAATTAATTAGAGATATTGACTAATAACGTTGTTTAATTAATTTAATTGGAGATATTGACTCATAACGTTGTTTAATTAATTGTTTAGAGATATTGACTAATAACGTTGTTTAATTAATTAATTAGAGATATTGACTAATAACGTTGTTTAATTGATTTAATTGGAGATATTGACTCATAACGTTGTTTGATTAATTTAATTAGAGATATTGACTCATAACGTTGTTTAATTAATTTAATTAGAGATATTGACTCTTAACGTCAGTTTGTAATTATTGTTACTTGCTTGACATTATAAACAGTATTTCACTTTGTAATAGAGAAATTGTTACAACATACTTGTTCTTGTTGCGAGGTTGAAATAATAATAAGAAAAGTTAAAGAACGAACCCTTACATATATATATATATATATATATATATAGAGAGAGAGAGAGAGAGAGAGAGAGAGAGGGAGGGGGGGAGAGAGAGTTTTTTGTCGACAACAGCGACATATTTTGTCCGCATATCTTCTCAAGCCTTCATCTCACCATTTTTTTACAATAAAGCATCTCAGAGTCTGAAAACACCGGCCGATCTTTATTTTTATCCATGGGCTCGTACATACATACATAAATATAGAGATCGTAAATACATGCACAAACACATACATACATTCGTACATACATACAATATGCGTGATGGCTCAATGGTTAAAGGCGCCTGGTTTTACTATTGCTATGACTGGGTTCGAATACAAAGAGATCCCCGCCTATCATATGCAATGTGTATGATGCGTGGTTTGCACACGTATTCATATCCGCTGTGTGTGTTTGTCGTTGAAACCTCTGAAGCTAACGCAAAAGAGAGAGAGAAACCTTTAACCTTTAAACATACATCATCACAGCCATCCGTACCTTATTTTATTAAACTTTTGAGGTCCAATGAACAATGTATTCTTTTACATACATACATGCATACCATAGATGTCTCGACGTAAAAGCCTTCCATATAAGTAAGTTCTAATACGAACACATATGTTTTAAAATCTAGCCATCGGATATATGAATCTACATGTCCCCTAGACGGCACTGCACGTCAGAATGTTTCATATATCGGAGTAACTACAACATCGCTAACCAGTCGACTGTCCATGCACTAAAGGAAAGGTTCTATAAAAACACACCTAGAACACACACACAATATTGAAACTACAAGAGAAATAGTGGACAACAACATCAAAATAATATACTGTAATTTTAGCATTCCCATCTGAAATTAGCCAAAGCCATTCTGATCAACGTAAAACAAACAACAATGATTTCAAACAATACTTCCAACAAGAAGAACAATATTAAAATATACTAATATTTCGAAAGTAGAGTCACTGATAACAATACATGCTAATCGCAGGAATAGAGGCCTGGGTTATACACATTTTTTATATAAACTGCAACAACTGCTGGGTTATAAAAATTCTTTTTTTCTATATATATCAAATCAGATCAAATTTTGTATTTATATAGCGTCAATTATAATTGCTTCTCATCAGCGCTCTCCTCGTATAAAGCATGTTGAAAGCAAAGCCATCCTCGGTGAAGATCACTAGGAGTTACAAAATAGGTATATCTTTAGACGTTTTCTAAACCTAGCTAATAGAATTGGTTGTGCATGATCAAATTTTAATTTGCGGTATATCATTCTAACAGCCTGATTCTGAACCATCTAAAGTTTAGACAACAGTTTATCAGCTATACTATATGGAAGACTGTTACAATAATCCAATCTAGAGTTGACGAATGCATGTACTAATAAAGTCATTGTATCTCTATCTACCGATTTTGTGACTTGACGTAACTGACGTAGTTGGAACATACATTTTTTTAACTTGCGGACCCATTGTCATACGAGAGTCTATCACAATTCCAAAATTGGTGACCGTTTTACTGAAACTTATATCGGTCATACTGATGTTAATCGATGAAGGTTCAACTGCTAACGTTTGTTGCCATGTACCAGCCAACATGAACTGAGTCTTAGTCTGTTTCAACTTTAGCCTTCTTTGACCCAGCCACGAGTCGACATCAGATACAGTTTTTGTCAGTTTCTCTAATACGGTAGGCATCTCATCAGGAAAACAAGAAACACAAATCTGCATGTCATCTGCGTACCAATGGCAATAATAACCACCTTTATTCAGTTAATCCAATATCTCTGCAACGTACAAATTAAAGAGAATCGATCCACGAACAGATCCTTGAGGCACCATTCATTGGTTCTGAGATACCACCTGAGTAAGAAATCTGCTGATTCTTATCAGTAAGAAATGATTCGAACCACGTTAACGCAATCTTATTTAAACCATAACAATATTTCAGTCTGCCCAACAGGGTTTTATGATTCACAGTACCGATGCCGAACTCATGTTCAGGAATGTCAACAAAGTTACTTTTTGTACATTAACTGCTGAATTAACTGCTGGCGTATCTAGACAACTCTGACAATGGGAGCAACGTTTATTGCAGTGTGGCCGATATATCCGATAGAGCTGTTTTTGTCGAATGAAACTTTCTATATCCAGATTGATGCAAAGGCCAAAAACCATTTTATTTTAATGATTATTCTAACTCAACGTTTTTTCAAGATTTTTTTCTTGTTTTCACATTCTTTTAACTGTTCAGACTGCTCAATAGACAACATGCCAGCGAATTTTCGTTTGTAAAGACCATTTCAATCGTTATTTATGATGTCAATCTTGGTCCTCAACTTGTCCTGCACAGGCATTTTGAAAGCATAATTTTTAGAAATTGCTCTAGATAAACATTGTGATTGTTCGTCCACAGTGTCTTTAACTTTAACGATGGCATTTAAATTTGACTCCTCCTTTAATTAACATTCATGAGCTATTTGCTCGCTTAAAAACTTTAATATTCATTTATGCGCATATATATGAAAGAAAATTTATTTATTGTTTTGTTTATTGAAAACAGGGACGTCACACATGCGTTTACCCTCCCCCCTCCCCCTCGTCACAAAATGCCACAAATATTTGGATCCCACTCCCCCCCCCACCCCCTTGAAGCGTGACATCCTTTATAGACGCCCCCTTATCATTTTATCAAATTAGTCAATTATAGCAATTGAAGAAAAAATTTTTGGTTGAATTTCATTTTATTTAGCATAAATATCAATAGGTTCTTTGTAAATAATTTATCGATATTTGAAAATTAATAATCTTTAGGAATTAAATTACAAAACTTATGTTAAATTTATGTATTTCTTATATAATATAAAATGTTGGTTTCATTATATTTTTTATTTCTACATAGTTTGTTATATAGTATGTTTAAAGTTTTGAGAAATGCAGCCTCCTAGCTCCACTTGAATACAAGTACAATCATCCTACTGGCCCTCGAATGTGCCGGCACACATTTCAAGTACGCCTTGGTGTTTGGTGCCATTATTGGTTTCCATTTTCGTATTTTATTTTTAACTTGAATCGTAACGATCAGTGGCCATTATCATGAGCAGGCCTTCCCATGAGTACAAAAGAACACATTTACATGAGTGTATATTTTTTTTAGTTAATTTGTTGGTGTTTGATGCCATTTTTGGTTTCCATTTTCATATTTTTATAGCTTATTAATATTTTTTATGAATTTACATAACATTTCAGCATAATTAGTTTTTTTGCCTGGTGTAACATGAATCGTAACGATCAGTGGCCATAATCATTAGCAGGCCTCTCAAAAGAACACATTTACATGAGTGCAAATTATTTTTAGTTAATTTCTTTATCTGTTTATTGACTGTCATATTTATTTATTTACTGAACTCATTAAAATATAATGTAGAAGTTATTTTTTGTCATGATTACATAGCCAGAAATGCAAATCAGTGAAGGAAAAATCACAACCATGTTTTACATTATTGACTGCTTGTCATTTTCAAATTACTCAAGCTCTTTGACCAATAGAAATTAAGAAGGCGTGGCTAAATATTCGCAAGATATTGATGCGTATAAAAGCATCTAGAAGTGCTTCTGTGAATTTGTTTCCTAAGATTATTTTGCTTTGGTATGTTTTTTAACTGGTTAAGACATAACAGTTTTGTCTATCTAAATATTTTATGAACGTCAAAAATGTTTAGTTTAATTTCAGTATGTGCAAATTTAATACTGTTTTTAGGAAATTGTAATATAAAAATGTTTATTTTACGTCGATTATTTTAAACTTCTGGAACGTTGTAATGGATTCATATTTCGAATCTAACAGACAAATTTATTCGGATGTATTTCACGCATTTAAACCGCCAAATAAAATTTCGAATCATGTTAAAAGACCTATGAATGCTTTCATGGTATGGTCTAGAGGACAAAGAAAAAAAATGGCTTTAGAAAATCCCAAAATGCACAATTCTGAAATTTCGAAAAAATTGGGCAGTGATTGGAAACAGTTGAAAGACGACGACAAAAAACCGTTTATTGATGAGGCAAAACGTTTAAGAGCCTTGCACATGCGTATTTATCCAGATTACAAATATAAACCAAAACGGAAAATGCGACAGCAATCACTTCATTTTATTAAAACATTTCAAGGTCACCATAATGAAGACCAAAATAAGTACGAGTCCACTTCAGGCACGCCAGATAGTTATATTGGTAAATTGTTTAACAGAAAAAATGACATCCTTCATTATTGTAAAGTAGACAGCTTACAGGACAACAATAATTCAGAAAACTTTTGTAATTCTGGTCAGAAATTGTCAGTAGAACAAGATTATTTACACAATTTGAATATAAATTACTATCATCACCATTTGCTAGTCCATTCTCCATTTCCTCCATTATATCATCTGTCGACCTTCCCACAGATTCGATATTTCCTGCCAACTTTGAATTATTTTAAGTTACCTAGAATAGCAGTTCATCAGTTTTCGAACGGTCAAAAAAAAATTTCTGAAAATTTAATTCCAAACTTCCTACAAGAGCATACAAGCGCTTGCAACTTATCACAAAATGATGAGTCTAAAATCAATAAAACTGTCATCCAACGAAAATACTGCAGTGAAGAAAACTTGTTGACTGCACACGAATTTAACGTTACTAAACATGTAACAAAATGTCAACAAGATGACGAAATACGCATAAACAAAAAACAAAATCAAAATTTTAAAAGCTCGTCTAACGTTAATTTTATTGAACTGCCAAAAGAATTAAAATACGATAAACCTAAAAAATGTTCATTTATATCAGATACAGGTTTATTTAAGCCGTATTTGGCTGATCATGAAAAAAATCATTAAAACGTTTTTGAAATGTACTTCAATGTAATTTAAGCTATTTCAAAATCAATAATCTACTGGAGAAGAACACTGAACAAACTACTGCGATTATTTGACCAGTTTACAATTACTTTAAATAAGTAGGTATTGAATAATTTTACGTTTTGGAACTAGATGTTTTTGTTGCAATTGATGAAATTTCATTGATCAAAAAATTCTATTTGAACAAATTTTTATTTTTTAGTCATATTTTTCTATTGTTTAATGAAATAGTTTTCCATAGTTTAGTTAAATAAAATTTTTCATTTTTAGTTTATTTTAAACTAACTAGTCAGAGTTTTGCATTTTAACATATTTTATAATATAAAAAAAGTTTGTCTTGTCCTCTATTTAGCTTAACGGAATAAATTTTAGGCTACACATGCCGCTATTTTGATGAATTTGTAAGTTAGTTGTTTTCATTTCTGCTAGTCAAGTAAAGGTAATAAAATAGAAAGTACCAAACAGCTCCACCAAAATTAATCTTCAAAATTAACTTTTAAAATATTCATATATTGTTTAAATTTTTTATGCTTTTTTTTGTCACAAATCTTCAATTTAAATTTCTAACTCAAATTATATTGTAAAAAAAACATATGTAAATTGTATGATATATTAGTAATTGATAAGGAAGGGCTATTAAGAATAACGTGTTAAATCTTTAGATGGATAGGGTTATACGTTGAACTTTATATTCACGTACTTAATCAGGATAGTTTAAATAAACAGTATTTTTGAAGTTTACATTCTGTTTATTTTAAAATAAATATCCGGCTTTAATCTAGTCTCCTAAACCGAATATTTTCTCTTACAGAATCCGGCTGATAACCAGCTAAGCCGAAAAATACGAAAAATAAAATTACGACTAAAAAAATTAATTTCGACTTATATTCGGCTAAGCAAATATTTTACATAAAACAATTTCAAATAATTTGCACAAATTTAAGTTCTTTCTGCGGCAATATTCAATATAAGCCGATTTAATAACAGCGCTAAAAACAACTCTAAATCTTCGGTATGCGTAAAAGCGTTAAATTAAATTAAATAACTTGAGGATTTTATTTCAATCAAAGCGTAAAAAAGACAAAATTCTCAAATGAAATTAGGAAAAAATGATTGACAAAAACAAGGTTTTAGAAAAAGCTGTTAAAAGCCTCAGAAAACAACACAACATAAAAACAATCAGTTGCACGAAACGTTATGACAACTAGTGTTGCAATCTCTTAATTGATAACTCTCCGTCTGCAACAGCGAGAAAAATTTCGACAATTTGTTCCGACTCCAGAAAGTTTGGTCAGTTTTTTTCATCACCGTTTTAATTAGATACCACCATTAATAAAAGATACATTAAAAACATTGATATATATAATATGGATATAGGCAGAAGCGTTATATATATATATATACATTGTTCTTTATATATAACATCTAAGTCAATCTAACCAATATGTTACATAGGATAGCTATATTTGTTGAAAAATGAATTTAAATTAAAGTAAACAATCAGTTTTTAGCGGGTTGTTTAGCTATTATCGTCCTAGTTTACTTTTTTTTGTTAATTTATTGACATTTAATTGAAAAATTTGTGTAAAGTTTAACAATAAAATACGATAATAAGACATTTGATCGTAAAAAATCAATAAGATGTCAATTACTACAAAAAAATGTTTAATGTTTACGCGATTAATTCCATAGAACTAAAAAAAATTATTAAGCAGGTAATTATTATGCTATATCCATTATATCCTTGATTAAAACACAATTTAAATTCGACAACGGAAATGTTTTCTTTAGTAAAACTATTCTATATTTAAGTTTTAAAATATACTGAAGGATCATATTATAAATTTTTCCTTATTATGCAATGTATATTACTCGTGGCCGCATAAAAATAGAGTTTTTTTTGAGCGTGGCAAAGCTATAAATTTTATGAGAAACATTTGTTAGAACATTTTTACATTGTCTGTATTTGTAAAAATTGTTGAATAGAATATAATATTCGTATACATTTATTTCAATTCAAGTTGTTTTGTGATTATAATAAAATAATTGAAGGAAAAAAGAAGAGGGCAGTTTTTTTATTCAGTTTTGTTAAAATCATACAAAGACAGTAAAAAATAAATTCAGTATTTTAGTATCCAAATTTAGAAAACAAATCGTGTTTTATTCAGTAAACTTTTATTATTTATTGTTTTGAGAGTCAATAACCATGCGTGTTGACTCAATTCATTTGTTTACCTTTGCTTTTAGTGAGTTACTTTTTGCACTGATCTGTCCGAGCCAGCGCGACTTGACGTTTTGCATAGTTGTTCTTGTCACGGAAAATATTGTGGTCATCAACAGACTTTGATTTTTGCCATTGCTTACATGCAGCTTTCTTTTCAGCTATTGCATTTTGTACAATTTCATTCCACCACTAAGTGTCCCGTTCATGCTGGCGTCTTGTACCAGTTTTTCCACAAACTGTAGTTGCAGCGTTTATCAAAACGGTTTTGTATGTACTCCAATTTGTTCTGGCTTGCGATTGGTAGTCTAACTTCGTGGCGACAATCTGTTAAAATTTTTCTCGATGAATATTGCTTTTCAGCTTCAACGTTTTGGTTCTCCGAGGCATTTGTTTAGACTTATGTTGTGAAAGTTTGACAACCAGGGGTCTGCCACAAGGAGTATATTTTGGGCAACACATGATTCGCCAGGTATATTTTTGACATTTTTGAAGAGCCTTCGGTGTTGTTGCCTGACAGCGAAGAAATCAATTTACGTTGCTGATGATCCAGTTTTGTATGTTAAGAAATGTTCCAACCTCTTTCTAAAATATGTGTACAGTAAACTCAAGAATGCGGTTGCCATCTTCATTCCGTTTTCCGTAGCCAAAACCGCCATGCACGTTGTCAAAACCATCTGTTTTCTCTCCAACGTGGCCATTGAGATTGCCTCAAATCGGGATTGTTTCAGATTTTGGTATTGTTGAGATGGCGTCAGAGAACGGAGCCCAGAAGTCATTTTTCATTCAAAATTATCTAATGGATGATTTAAAGAAATGTTCTGTGTTTAACATTTTGACTAATTCTGGTTGAAATGAAGAAAATACAAGTTGAAACAAAAAAAGTGATGAAGTTTTAGCTTGTACTGAGACACTGAAAGTTATCAAATTCAGTACATGAAAAACATATGAAGCATGAAAACAGTTTTATTAAACTAAACACTAAGGTTATTCAAGATGAAGCGAAAAAACAAACTATTAAATATTCAGACTTAGCAAAAACCAGGTATGTATACTAACGGGATAGGTAAAAGCTGTATAAAGCGTCAGTGATGGGTTAACTACAAAAAAGTAGTGAACTACTCTAGTTAACTACTTAAATAATCAATCAATCATTGCTTTGTGTCCAGAGACCCGGTTTCCCGAGGTAGGACGTTGTTTTCTTTGCCATCAACTTTTTGCGCCAAATTAGACGATCAGTTGTATCCATTTCATTTAAATTTAGAGCTTTCATGTCTTGCTCGATTGTTTGCGACCAGGACTTCTTTGGACGGCCTTTGGGACGTGTGCCAGGTACTTCAACATCTGCAAGAGAAGTTATGGCACTGTTTCCACTTCGTTTGACATGACCAAACCACCGCAGACGGTGTTGCCGGCATTCGTCCTTTATATTATCTAAACCAGCACGACGCAGGATTTCGGTAGATTTGATGTGGTCCTTCAGACTAATTCGTTGCATCCATCGGAGCATTTTCATGTCGGTTCGTTGAAGTTGTTGTTCCAGTTTGGTTGTCATTGGCCATGTTTCTGCACCATATAACAACACCGGACAATTTGCATGGCTGATGGTCCACTTTTGTATGTTATGAGTTCAGTGAACAAAACCCGTGACTTTCAGCAAATTCAAGGATGCGGTTGCCATCTTCATTTCGTTTTCCATAGCCAAAACCGCAATGTACATTGTCAAGACCATCTGTTTTCTCTCCAACGTGGCCATTGAGATCGCCTCCAATCAGGATTGTTTCAGATTTTGGTATTGTTGAGATGGTGTCAGAGAATGCAGTCCAGAAATCATTTTTGATCTCTTCTGATTCGCCTGTCTGTGGTGCGTATGCAGAAAAAATAATCTTTGTTTGCTTTTCTATGCGAAGCTTGATCCACATGAGACGTGAATTAATCCTATTAATATCCAGTACTTCTTGGGCTAGCGGTTCTCTGACAAAAATTCCAACACCATTTTTGGCCGTCTTTTGACCATTCCAGAATAGTTTATATTTTTCTCTGTCTGAGTTGACATGACAGACACCATTCGATTTCCATCGGGTTTCCTGAAGGCAGCAGATGTCAATCCTTCTACATTCGAGCACTTCTGCGATTTCCATGCTGCGGCCAGTCAGTGATCCAACATTGAGCGTTCCAAGTCTAAGTACCATAGAGGGGCCATTCTGAATTTTTCTGCAACATCCCTCCGCTATTGCATACTTCCCAGGGATTCTTGGCACCCCTTGACCACTTAAGGCCTGCTGGGGACTAGGGGCCGTTGTTTTTCTTTGTGATGGCATAAGAGTAATTTGGGAAAAGATTTTACATCCGGACACCCATCCTGACGTCAACCACCAGTTATAAGCGGTAGGCCTAGCCTTTCGCTCAAAAGCACGCAAGGCAGCGTGGATGCAGTTTCATGTCATACCCAGGACCATAATTAAATAAAAACATAGTAACTACTTTTTAACTACTTTTTTAACTCTTTTTAATTATTTTTATAAAAAAAACCCTTCTGAAAATTTTTTATAAATTTGTTAACCAACATGTATATTTTTTTTAATAAATGTTTTTTTTAATGTGTGTTTAAGATGATCTCTCGAAAAATCATTTTATTCGTATGATCATCAGACAATCTACAGCGTTTATCAATTAGAATTTGTCCAGCAACACTGAAAAGACGCTCAACCACTGCAAAGCTAGGTAATGTTGAATTTAGTTTAATGAAACTTGCACATACTGATGAATAGGAAAATAAACTTTCAATATTCTTAGATGGGTTAACCAAGTAACTGTTGAGTTTATCAGCCAACACATGATCCAATAAATTTTGATTATTTTCCAAGTAATTATTCAAATTGTCATTATTTATTTGCTACGGTTTGCTTTCTTTAGAAGACGAAGGTACAGGACTCACTGGTTTGCAATCTGCGTGTAATGTAAATAAATAAATAGCCATTTACCAAGAAAACATTTTCAAACAATGTGTTGTGGCTTCAAATCATTAATAAACAAAAGTTAATTTGAATATGTATTTATCAATTGCAATTAAAAAAACTATTACTTGATTGTTCAAATTCTTGGTGTATATTTTCTATATATGCCAATAATTTTTCTATAAGAGTATTTTTTTGTTTTCACAGGTTAGAAAATTTGTTTTAAATTTGTAGAATTAGCATAGAGGCAAACAGATACTCATCATTTTCTAAAAGTTGCCCAATCTTTTTTTATACCATCAGTCAGTGCTTGCAATATAGGTTGAACAGCATTATCTGTAAACAGTGAAATTTTTTTGTTAATTCCAGTGATTGTTGATACAATGTGACTTATGTTTTTATTTCATTTTAGTTTTTATTTTAGTTGTTTTTTCATATTATTTTATTTTAAAATTTTCCGTGGAAAGAACAACTATGAAAGACGTCAAATCTTGCACTGGCTCGGACAGATCAGTGCAGAGAGTGGCTGACAAAGGTGAACAAATGAAATCTCTCTATCGTATAGCAAAACAAGCAAAACGGAAAAAGACATAGTTGGTGCCTCATGTATCAAAAACGACAAAAATGAGATGGTTCTTGAACAAGATGAGATCAAGCTACAGTGGAAAGAATACATCAACCATCTGTTAAATAAAACAAATCCCATCAATGTTAACTTTGACGCTCCACCCATCGAAGGTCCGATTCCAGACATCACTGTAGAGGAGCTTACAGAAGCTCTTAAAACTATGAAGGATGGAAAGGCAGTAGAGCCCTCTGGACTCCCAAATGACATTATCAAAGCATCTGGTTACTACAACTTTGCCGTGAAATCTGGAGAAATTGCTCAATGCCGACTGAATGGAACTCTAGCATGACAGTTCCTCTATACAAAGGCAAAGGTGATCCATTGAATTGTTCATCATATCGGAGTATACGTCTGTTAGAACACTCCCTGAAAATTGTCGAGAAAATCATTGAGAGAAGATTAACGTCATGCATCACAATCGGAAATTATCAATTTGGTTTCCTAGCGGGGAAATCAACAATTGATGCAATTTACATCTTTCGGCAGCTGCAAGAAAAGTACTTTGCAAAGAAGCATCAACAACTATCACACATTTTTGTAGACCTTGAAAAAGCATTTGATCGAGTTCTCCGTGAAGCAATCAGGTGGAGTCTACGTCGACAACTCTTCTAGAATATCTTGTTCAACTTGTGATGGAAATGTATACGAATACTAAGACTCTTGTCAGAACAACGGTTGGAAACACAGATGCATTTAACATCGGATTTGGAGTTCACAAGGCTCGATTCTCAGTCCACTGTTATTTATAACTGTGATGGAAAAAATCACAAAGCCGATAAGCACTGGTGACATTTGGAATCTAATATATGCCGATGATATCGTTTTAACAGCCACGTCTGAGCAGAATGTAGCACAGATGTTTGAAGATTGGAACACCAGACTCGCCGTTCATGGATTCAAAGTCAATATCAGTAAAACCAAAGCAATGAACACTGTTGAACCCATCCAATCTACAGCTACTGGACGATGACCCTGTTCAATTTGTAAAGCTGGTGTAGGTAACAATTTAATCAAGTGTCAGCAGTGTAACCAGTGGTGTTACAAACGTTGTTCAACAAATTCGAAATAGCAATGTTTTTGAAGCCATTAAGGTAGAGAAAGTCACATCGTTTCAATATCTAGGGGATGTTCGTGATTGTACTGGAACAGCTAAAGCTGCCGTTCGAGCACGCATACGTGCAGCCTGGAATAAATGGCATCTCCTTGCCTCTATATTGATGCGGCGTGACATCCCACTACCACTACGATCAAGACTTTATAAATCTGTGATACGTCCGGTGTTGTTATATGGTGCAAAAACATGACCAATGACAATTAAACTGGAACAACAACTTCAACTAACCTGTCTGAAGGACCACACCAAATCTACCAAAATCCAGCGTCGTGCTGGTTTAGATAATATAAAGGACGAATGTCGGCAACACCGTCTGCGGTGGTTTGGTCATGTCAAACGAAGTGAAAACAATGCTATAACTTCTCTTGCAGATGTTGAAGTACACGGCACCCGTCCCAAAGGCCGTCCAAAGAAGTCCTGGTCGCAAACAATCGAGCAAGACATGAAAGCTCTAAATTTAAATGAAATGGATACAACTGATCGTCTAATTTGGCGCAAAAAATTGATGGCAAAAAAACAACGTCCTACCTCGGGAGAACTGGGTCTCTGGACGCTAAACAAAGATTGATTGACTGAATGAGTATGAATGAATGTATGAATGTATGAATTTTCACTCTAAATGATATCCACTGCACTTACTATCGGTTTCATGGCTTGGAGAACAAACTTCAAAAAACTAAGTTCATTTTCTGTAAATAATGATTGTCCTAAGCCTTTCTGACAACTACAAATTTTGTCGAATCCTATGTCAACAACTTTTCCTACTGCATAAAATTTTGAACACCACCTTGTAACATTTGGTTTAATAAATGTAGAACCAGTAATGTCTTATACTTTGATGTACAGAGTTTGACAGTGATTTCACCTTTGCTATGGTTCTATAATACAGTCTTTTTGTATTGCTGATTTTTATTGAATCTTCAGAAATGGCAAAGCAAAATGACAAAAAAATTTATCAATTTATCTGGTTGATGATTTTGATGAAAACGTGATAATCAGACTTGCAAGACTTGGACAAAAGAATGCCGGTGAAAAATTGAGCGGGCCATTACTATCAGTACTTAAATTCAAAAATGTAATGACCAAAAACTTAATCATGCAAAGTTTGAGTATTAGAAATGCTAATTCTGATTTAGGCCTATTGATTTTTTCTCATGATTTTCGTTTAAAGATAAATTAGTGACTGGTTTCCCAGTAAAATTTGATTAATTTGTTCATTAGAAAACTGTTTTCAACTTGATGTAATCTTTTCTCGTCACTTCCGTTAGAGCTAGTCATATCCATTAGAACATAACACCAAGTAAGTTCAATTTTCTTCAGTCATCAATCCTCAAACAGAAGTTTCACTTTCAACTATCGATCCAGTCACACTTTTCTACTGATTTTAATTGAACAGTCCGTGCTTCAATATTCATCACATTTTTCATCTTCTTCCTAATTTCTGAAATGTAGCTAATCTTTACAATTTATGCTATTCCTTACGAAGCTCCTACATCTCACCTATAACAGAACCTAGATTTCAAGATATAGGCTCGTTCAAACTAAATATAACCTAGTTAAATGTAGATGCAATGCTTAACAAGTTAAATGGAATCAGGTTATTGATCGACAGGGTTACGCTAAATAATGATATTTTAATTTTTACCGAAGTTAATCTAAAGCATATTGTTGGCGATATGAATGAAGATGATGTTGCAATTAAACGATACAAATCGGGGGTAGTTTATTTTATGAAGAAGGGTAGCCGAGACATTGCTTGTTATATTAAACGTGGTCTGTCTTCTAACAAAATAAGCCTGAAAACTTATTTCAATGATTACCTCAGTTTGCATATAAAAAGTTGCAAAACTAATGTCTTTTTTATGGTCATTTATAGAAGTCAGGAACAACAATGATTCTATAATTTCTTAATCAAAGAATTTTTAAATTTGAAGGGCACTAAAATTATTATTGGGGATTTTAATTTTCCAAAGATTAATTGGAACTCCATTTCATCTGGTGCACTGTGCAAAAGTGATCATTGTGTTCTTTGCTTTTCATTGAATTTCGATCATTCTAAGATTTATTCCACATTTGATCTACTCAAATTTACTTTCAAATGGGGAAATTCTGTATGATTTACGAATTCAAACTAAATAGACATTACAATACTACTTTGTTAGGCATGATTTATGATGCCTTCATGATGTAGTTTATGATTTATGATGTAGTTCATAAATTGCGTCTTGACTCATTTTGCTCCATTTCACTCAAGTTTTGAAGAAAGTAACTAACACCTATATCCTTTTTGTCAAAAGCAATATTATATAATCATACCAATATTTATTTTTATTATCTAAAAATCATGAAAAGAATCACAAAAAATAACGTCCAAGAGCACCAACGAAAACGATAGTTTCAATCAATCAATCAGTCGGTCAGTCAGTCAGTCAGTCAATCAATTAGCTTGTAAAGCGCTATTTCCGCGATGTTCAACAGCGCTCCTCAATTGATTTTGCAAACAGATGGGTCTTGAGATCCGCTCTGAACTTCGTAAGTGATGGAGAAGTAGTCAGAGAAGTAGGTAGAGGGCTTCAGAGAAAAGGGTCAGAAAAAGCAAAAGCAGATTCGGCAAAAGAGTGTTCAACACGAGTTAAGAAGAAGCGAAAACAAGAAAACGATCGTAAACCGGGATGTTTAGGTTCAATTAGTATATTTGATAAGTATTTAGGATATAATTTAGATTGAGGCTTATACATAAATGTGCAAATTTTAAAAATTATTCTATATTTTATAGGAAGCCAATGCAAGAGAACAAGATATGGGAATATATGAGGCTTTCTCCGGCCTTCTAACACTTTTCCCAGCCATTACACAAGCATAATCGAACAAAGGAGCCTTACGAGTATAGAGCCTATAAGTAAAAGATTTAAGAGGAATAAGCTTATTAAGGATAGAAGTAATGTAGATATTAAAAGCATAGACAAAATCATCAACATCAGAAAATAAGATAGTAAAAAAAATAGTTTCAGTAAGAGGTTGAAAAAAATCTTTATTAAGAGAAGACCAGCATCTTTTAGAAATAGACAAATGAATTAAAAGGAAGGAAATCTAAAGAAAATACAGATTCAATAAGGAGGTGATCAAAGTAAGGAAAAGAG